ATATTATAGAAAAATTAATATCAACTGGTCATAAAGAAACTTATCTACAAAAATTTAAATCTTGGAGTGAAAAGATTGACCGGGGGGGGACTTAAGACACCATCAGATGATTTTTATTTACTCATAAGAAATATTGAAACTGGACTTCGAAAACATGTAGACTTAAATAATTTAAATGCCTTTACTCTTTTCTTACCTAATCTTAAAGATTGTATAATTTCAAATTTTATGGTAAAATTTTATTGGGATAAAATTGTTAACACAGATCAGGATTACACATGTTTATTAGATGACATTATAGATATTCTCCTTACTGTTAGAGGAAATGCTGTGTCTTATCTTGTTAAAAAACATTTACAAAAAGAAAGATCAGTAAAACAGACCAGTAATTCATTGAGAAAAAACTTGAGAGTTGATAACTGAGTTAACAATTATGTTACTTGTTATATTACAATTTATCTATCAGATTCTTCAATTTATATTTATTCTACTGTATGTTACAGTATGTATGCTACTTGTTATATTACAATTTATCTATCAGATTCTTCAATTTATATTTATTCTACTCTATGTTGAAAAATACTAGATATAATTGGTCCGATTTTATTTACCCTCTATACGTCACCCTTAGGTGATATTGTAAGAAAATATGGTCTCAGCTTTCATTTGTATGCCGATGATGCTCAATTATATATTTCATTTACACCTAATTGTCCATCTTCTTTCAATTTATCAAAAATGCATTTTGAGAACTGTATTAGTGAAATTAGAAAATGGATGTCAAAGAACTTTCTAAAATTGAATGATGATAAAACCGAATATTTGTTATTAGACTCAAGGCATCAATTAAGTAAATTTGCACATGATAACCCCGCCTGTTGTAATTGGTAATTTTGATATATTTTCATCTTATTTGCTCGTAATATTGGGGCAATCTTTGATAGTTTTATGCTTATGGGAGCTCAAGTAAATAATATTTGTAAATTGTGCTCTTTTAATATCAGAAATATAAGTAAAATACGTAAATTTGTAACTGCAGAGGCCACTAAGGCATTTGTTAATTCTCTGGTCACTTCTCGATTAGATAACTTTAATTCACTTTTAGTTGGTTTACCTTTAAAGCTTAGAATACTGCAGCTAGACTTGTTACTTTTAACTAAGAAATGTGACGACATAACTCCCTGTTTTATATAATTTACACTGGTTACCAGTTAAACATTGAATTGATTTTAAGATTTTATTACTTACTTTTAAATATATACGGTCCATGGACATAGTATACACCAGTGGCGTCGTGCCTATTGGGAAATAAAAACCAGAAGACCTGTCCGTCTGTATTAATCATCAAACGGTCTCCAGGAATTATATAATTTGTCATTATCTGTGTTTAGTTTATTGCACCTTAAATAGTTTAAATGTCATTTGTTAAGGCATCGCTCAATAGCTGCCTCGCTTCGTACACTCTATCATTTAGCCTCGATCCGGGAGTATGACGTCAACATAACGGTTAATCTCCGCTCACGACGCCATTTAAAATTAAATCAGTCAACGAAATCCCGTTTAAATCCAAGCTGAATCCAAGCCATCCGTGGGTCTACAAGGGTTGATATTGTGCTTGTTGTGTAAATAAAGATCTAATTCATAATTTCTATGACATCCGAAGCCTAAATAAAGACTTGCAATAATCAGATTTAGCTCTTGCATAATGTATGTTTAACAAAACGTTTTATTTTTTTCTTGGTATAACGATTTACGGGCTATAATTTATCCTAAAAAAAATTGCAAAAGAAACCAATGCAGTTTGGTTCAATGATAATATGTCAGACAAAATCATACTCAAAATCGGCCATGGCAAAATGACATGATTAACATAATTCAATTTGGCGTTCTTCAGGAATTATCGAGAGCGCTATATCGTAATCAGTGTTTTTCAGTAATGGTAGGATAAATATGCAAGCGAAGTGTGTCGAAAAATCGAATTTGACAAACATCAATTTAAAAATGTATTTTTCATTTGATGGCGGGCATTTCTTTCAAAATGACTGCCAAATTAAAAAAAAAATAAATGAAAAAACCCCATTAATTTGGTAATAAAAAGGCGGAGATAATCTAAAAATTTTAATTTCGAGAATTCTTGATGGTAGAAATTCAAAATGGTGGAATTTTCATTAATCGTCATTTCTTTCTGTTGGGTATGACTTGTAATATGTGCTATATTAATCCCGAAATGACATAGTTGCTCTTAAATGAATATATTGTTAACGCGCTTTAAACATCTAGATGCAATAGACAAGGTGTAGAAAATTCAAGCTACATTGAAATGTTGGCAATAAAGATGTCATATACACTGTTAACTACCCGTAGATGTTATAAATCACATAATTTATTCAGCTCGAGGCAAGATTTAAAATGAATAGATGCGGTTCGTTTAACTTGAATGTAGATATTATATCATGGGAATATCTTATTTGCACAGTTTTTCGTATTTGTCGACATTAATAGTGCAGGGGGACTGCACCACACAAAATTTACACAAAAACAAATACACGGACAGGACATCATACTCCGGAAAACACAAACATGCAGACAATTCAAAAAAGTGAATGGATCCGGGGGCTAGCCGTAAGCGTCCACTGTGCTGTACAGTCCCGGGTATGTAGTGACACAGACTTCACTCAAATTTGAAAACAATTAGGAATACAACCCAAAGAACCCATTGTGTAATGCCAGCATGAGTCATGATCTGCTATATGCTAGGCTACACGAAATACGAATGTAAACATAATATGTAGTAAGTAACTACATCGGTGAAATGTATTAAAAAAAGTAGTCTAAACTCTAAATTCAATCAATAAACGCTTCAGTATTCAATACATATAGGGTACATGTTCCATCGTCACAAAAACAAAAACAAAACTGAATACAAAGAAGCAAATAGGAAATGTAGACTGTCTCGAGGGATAGCCGTCTGCTGACTGAGTTGCGACGTTATTTTGGGAATGACGTCATATCTTAGAAGGTGATAAAAAAAAATCACAATAATAAGGGCGATAATCCGGATAAAATAACGTTAAAAGCTTAAGAGTGTATCCGCGAGAAGACCATGCAAAAATCGCAAAGAGTGCTAAGATGGGGGGTCGGAAGTTTTTGATCAAATTTATGGTATGACACCCCCTAGGGGCAAGAGGTAACATGCTGAAGTGGTTACATAATTATTCATTTTATGGGTAAAATTGTGGTTTTCACATGTGTATTTATCACCTTTTTTAAGCACAGACTGCATTCTATGGTGGAATAGCAACCTTCAGTACATACTAATTTTGTGTGGACTTGTTTTAGGGTACCATATTCACACTGTCCTTATAGTGCAGAAAAAGATACACTGTAACTTTTTCTTTCATGGTCGCAAGTAGAATTTCTTTGGATGGTTTTGAACTGCTAAGCACATAGTATCCATAGGTGTAAAAAAAAATGACCGGAATGCAACATACTTAAAATATACAACTTATTGAAAAGTGCTAAAAATAAGCTTTTGTGATACATTTTTTTGCAAATTTAATTAGAGAAATAAAATTTTTGACTTTTATACGTTTTCATCATATCCATAGCCATTATTTGTACCATGTTGTACTCTATATAAGTGTGTATTTGTATTTATTGTATATTTGTTGTATTGTCTCTTTAAGATTTCATTTTCAAACAAGTTACGGAAAATGGCTACAAAATGTTTAATTTCAGAGCATGTTTCCACTATTCATTTTGGGACACATCCACTGATTTCTACAATACAGAAATGTGGAAGCTTAAATATTAACGGCAACGAAGCCTAATTGCGTCGAAGTGGGTGACATTGAACAGTGTAGTATGGTAGCTACAGCTCTCGGGCACCGTCAGCTGCACCTTCAGGGCCGGATTTAGAATAAGAGAGGCCCTAGGCAAACCCCCTGAACAGGGCCCACGACATGGACCTTGGGGCCCTGGGACAAGCAACTCGGTGACAGGGTGGGTCGGGGGAAGTCATGCGGTTGGTGGTTCGAATCTCACTTTTAGGTGAATTTTTCATTTTCGTTGGATTATTTTATTTAAAATAATGTCTATTTGAGAGTAATGGATATGTTTGTTAAGATTGAGCACGTCGAAACTCCAATGGAAGGTCGTGGACAACTGCAGAAGTCAATTCCCGTTGACGCCAGATGAGCCATGAACGATTACAGGCCTTTGAAAGTATTTTTTTTCAAGATATTTTTATAAAACAGATACTAATGTATTTTAGGGCTGGTATTAACACCATATGAATGAAAAGGAAAATAAATTGTTAGGTTTTTTTTATCTACTACGGTTAATTATCTCCAAAATAGGGAAATTACAGGTTAATGTCATGGGTTATTGTTTCCTTTACCTAGTTTTTGTCAAGTCGATTCCGGTCACTTTTATTTTTTGTATCAAATGTTGGGAGGTTGCTTGTTCACGTGAGCATAAATGTTTTAAACCCACCCCATGAAAGAAGTAGCTATAGGGCGTCAAACTTTGGATGACGAAAAATGGGGAATTTAGACAGGCTTTGATATCCAGTCCGTATACAGATCTCGTTCGCCAGAATCGTCTGTAGTTAATATTGTGGTAACAGCACTGAGTCATCGATAAACTGTGTGAGTTTGGTCTTTCTGCTACGTATAGTAAAGGTGTAAGGACTTGCCAAATTGACACAAATGGGTCGCAACGCATATAATAATGTAATATGAATGTATATAAATTGATTTACGTTCAATCGTTTCCGTTTTACTCTAATTTCAAGTCAGTTATGTTCGGCGAAAAAACCCAGAGGTTTCATTCGAATGGCAGTCACTAGGTTAATATCCTATACATAAATACATGTTTATGAGCTTAAATTTTACAAAATGTTGGAAATAAATATAAATGAATTTGCAAGGAAAGGTGACATCGTGGGGTTTTTTTTGTCATTTTTGAATATGAATTTTCATTTCGTTTTTCTACTGTAGGATAAGACGTCCGTCCAAATTGATGCGTTTTGTAATAGTAACCGCAGTGGTAGCTGTATGGATTATCTGTATTTTTAAGAAGGGTAAGAAATGTAAATGGCATTATTTAAATTCAATTAACTTGTTTCATATATAGTCATGATTTTCAGTCGATTTTTATTTGTCGAAACTATCCTGTTCGATGACTCGTAATCTCCACTACAAAAATCTATTTGAATAACTAAATGAAAATATATCGAACTAAATGATACTTGAAACGTCGAGTAAAAAGAATAAAAACCCATACACAGCTTGGAATTTGCAAACACCGATCAAGTCTTTCTGACACAGCACGATAGTGTCACAAGGCCTCCAAAAGACTATCTCGAATTTCACGTTATTGTTATCAATATGATTTTATATACCAGTAACACAGCAAACCACATACATGGTTTAAAAACAGACTGATGTAGTTCTGCGGACGCTCAACTATGTCTGCTGGTTTGTGGTTTGGGCAGATGTTTAAAAAGCTATCTCTACCCAAATATTGATTCTGGTGGAAAGGGACGAATGATGGGTGCGATATTTGTATTACAATATATTCGGACGTTTATTTCTAAGATACCTAGCTAATTAACCCAAATCTAGCTGTACAAATTTACCGCAACTCATGTCCAATTCACTCCTTCCAGTCAAGTTAGTTTCGACAAATAAGTCAACGTGTTTGTGCTCTATTGCTGTTGGGGTGGTAGAGGCATGCCTCGGACAAATTTTAGTATTTTAGCAATGTGTGTGTGTGTGTTTGTGGGGGGGGGGGGCAGCTACCTCCGATAGTATCGTTGCAAGATAATGGTTTGCGTTTGGTATTTATGTACAGACAGGCCCTAAAACACTAAATTTAGCCGCTGTTATAGGAGTTCAAAATGCTTTACCAGGTATATGACCAAGCAAGATGAAGACTACACATCCTCCCCAATCCCATATTCAAATTTTACGAGCTTTTTAATCATGCCAAAAATAAATATTCAAGTTTATATTTAATAAATTATTTTGAACCATTTTACTCAAATTTTACAGATGTTTTCAGCAAGGTACGCAAGAATTTTCAAGAATCTGCTGATCAGACAGAATCCATTTACAGAGATAGACTGATACTGGTGAACAGAACATGTCGTAACAGCGCGAAAGTCTCAACCCATTATAACTTTTTTAGTTCAAGTAAGCACGGTCTCTCGTATTGCCAAAGCCCAAAGGTAGGCTGTACTCACTGGATTAACATTTTTCGCTTTCTCGCAAACGCAACTGGGGATGTGTTGTATAAGAGCCCATTTGACATTCCTAGATTGGTAACGCATGAAGGTAGTAAAAGAAGAATGGAATACACTACAAAATTGGACAAAACAATTAATAGAAATTTTAAATTTATGTTCGTCAGAAACCCCTACGCGCGCTTGTGGTCAGCCTTTCTGGATAAATTTTTTTTGCCAGATTTTTGGAGAAGCGAAGGTGTTATCATTCAAACATATTTGAAAAAGCGTAGGGTCAGTTGTGCTAAGGGTATAAGCTTTGGAGAATTCTTAGAATATATCGTGTCCAAACCCCCATCCAAACTAAATGAGCACTGGGCTCCTTTTAGATACATCTGTGATCCCTGTGACTTCCATCCAGATTTTATTGGAAATATGGAAACCTTTAAACAGGATAATAAGTATATTCTGGAAAAGTTTGGACTTGCTTGGATAGCAGATGATATTGTTTCACGCGATCATGCCATGCAGGAAATAAGGATGTTGAGTGAATACAATTTCGATTTACTGAAAGTCTATAAAACAGAATGTTTAAACGCCACCTCATTGTCAAAACTTCTATGGAAAACATTCCAAATAAATGGTTACATTCGTATTAATTCTATATTAGAGGAAAGTAAAAACTCAAACTGGAACTGTGAGACATTCACCAACAAAGTCCTTCAACAACACAAAGCGGATAAATTAAGTTCCGAAAAGGCTAAAGATCAAAAACTCGTTTATATGACAGCCGCTTACAGCCGTGTTCCTAATTCTGTTTTGATCAAGTTACGAAAACTATATAAAGACGATTTTGAAATGTTTGGCTACGACCCCGAGTTTATCCCGTTGAACAGTCCATCTCTATTATAGACTATTCCTGAATTAAGAATAAATTGCATAACTATTATTATGTATATAAAAAGAGAAAAGTTTGTTTGTTTGTGGGATGGCTAGGAAACCAAACGGTTGACGTTATAAATTTTAAAATAAGACATAACAATGGAAAATTTCAGGTTGAGGTAAGCCATCTTTTTGCATCTTTTGTTTTAGGGTAAAGCTTAGGGTATATTGTAGTAGACGCAGTTCATATAATTTTTTACAGGCTTACCTGATCAGACATTTTGCAATCTTCAATAATTTGGTATAGAGCAATCGGTGAAGCGTGTGTAGAGAATAAAACCGGATGTGTAAAGCTGGCTGACAAGAAACAAACTGGAAGTGAGATCGGCTAATCTTTCCAGGTCATAAGCCTCCATGTCCGCCATATTTATTTCATAAATTGGAAACAAGTATGGCGGCTTGGGGGCGTTAACTTTTTTTTATTTAATTATTTCGGTATTTTTGTAACCGGAGTTCAGCTTTAAGGATGAAACTGACAATTAATGTTATGGGGATTAATAATAACATATCACACCTTTCTGCAACCGCGGTGTAAAAGAACCATTGTCTGTATGGTCATGTTCAGTATCCCGGTTGGTGCAGAAAAGTGTGACGTTAAAACCCATTTCATCTATTTCCATAACTTTCTAGACTGGCTCATTACCTTAACCGAAAACTCTTTATTTTTCTGACAAAATCTTTACTCAAAGTTAAAGTTAGTAAATATAGTGAGATGAAATGTAAATGTACTATTTCTTCAAATAGATTATTGTAAATCTCGTTTAGATACAATCTATATTCTGAATGATGTGACGATATCCCGTGAAAAGGATGTGTTCAGTATCGCGTACCACCGATCTATTTTCTTATACATCAACAATTGAAATCGACATGTTCGATGCACACTTGAAATAAGCCTTTGCAGTTGGAATTCAAAGAAGTGTGTGCGAGGAAATACCTCTTTCCGTGGTAGCGGGAATGTATACGTGACCTTTGGATATGTAGAATATAACTTTTATATGTAGAAAATAGTCGAGTATACGTAAATCTTAAATCTATATTTCCATATGTATATCGACATCATTTCCGGGCTGAAGAAATGTATAAGTCAGTAGATATAGCTGTGACCAATAATGCATATCATTTTTAGGTCGATATCTAATAAATACTAAACAATCTTTTATCGAACTAGCCCCCTTTCCTCGTAGTATGTTTAGTGATTTGCCCCGGGTTGGCCTTATTTTAGAGATCTAAAAAAAACCTACATGGTTAATCTTGCATGACGCGACCACGAAATGCACATAACTTTCGTTTTCCCCCAACTGGCGGAATTATCTCACACCGGCTCCAGTAGTGGAGGTGCTCGATCGTAGCTTCTGGTTTGTCTAACAGTAAGTGGTTGGGCGGTCCAAACCATATTTTCGAAGCGTCAACTTCATTTCGGCCAAGCGTATGAGAAAACACTATTATCCACGCAAAATCACCCCCTGGACAGTATATTAACTAGAGAAAATTAAAAATCCTCCGAACAACACATACAACATCATTCTCGTTTTTATACATGACCCCTATACGCTTCCGTAGTGAAGCAACCATTGGCCCAATACTTCGCACCAAATCTGATAAAAAAAAAATACTCTAACATTTATTACAAAGGAAAACTGCTAACTAACGAAATAATAAACGGGCAATCGATAGGGTACCCATGATTTACACTAAATTTGAAATATGATTAAAATCGATAGGGTTCATCGTCTTATGGCCCAAATACTTCACATCAAACATGAAATTCAAAACCCTACCACGTTAGCTTTAATGCGCGAAGCTTTGAATTACAGACATCGACGTTGAAAATGTCATTTTTTGCATGTTTTTCAGTTTATTGTCTTGTGGCACAAATGCTTCTGAGCAGTTTTTTAATAAAAAAATATTGAAAAACACTGGGCTCTAACGCCGCATTAACAAGGTTTCCCGGAAAATAGGAATAACGCCATAACAAAACGTCAGTGGGCGCTGCAAATCAATAAGATTTTTTTTTACAAAGATGGACCCACTTTCCGCTGATATTGGCTAAATTAATTACGGCAGCCAAATATATTGAATATATCCTGTCTGTCTGACTTCATTGCCATGCAATGATTTTGGCCAAAACATTTATTCCATTTTCTGAAAATTACTACCGTCCAGGTAGGTATTGTTTCGTTTCATTTTATTTCGAGGTTAGCGCTAATTATCTATCATATTTACTGACAGGGCATGGTACTGACACGGCGTAACATGAAATAAAACATTGTTTAAAGTAAGTTAGAGCTGGTTATTCTGCATGTTTTATGGCACCACTAGAAACCGACAGGTACACAGCTTGTTAACTTTTCCACATACAAAAATAAATATATACAAAATCCAGCAATGACAATAATTTCCAATATAATATACACTTGTTTTAAGTACGTGTGTTTACATATTTACAAAAGGTAGTAAAATACCTATTTTTAGCCGTATTACTTCAACTACATTAGCTACATTAAAAGTTGGATTTATTCAGGCAGCGACATTGTTTAGGGATTGGGGATGCAGATTATACAGGAGGCATCCCACCAATTTCGTCCGGTGTCTCGATAGTCTCCAATGTAGTTCCTTCAATCTAAAGTCTTTGGACTAGAACCGAAGACGATGGTTTGCATTATCGAGTTTTGGTGAATATTCATGGTAACAAAGGCGGAAGAATAAGAGAACTAAGACATTAGTTAAAGTGAAATGTTTCTTCAAATTTGTGTAAATTGGAGCCGGAAAAAGAGACAAGAATTATGTTACATAATCACAGATGTTATAGACGCTTCCTGCCACATTGACACATGAAAGTGATTTTAATATCAAAATATCAACCTGTCCGACCCCTGGAGTTCTTGGTAGGATTCCTTATGTGATTATGTAATCTTAACTTGTTCTTGGCATGTTTTGTTTAAACTTTCTTCGTCTGATTAGCATGTATCGAATGTTAAACCTGATATGATACATGATAGATTAGCCAGATGCCTAATAAGATCCTTTGTTTGGAAGGGTTTATAAACCAAGACAACAAACGAATCGACACTTAGGTCCGGCCAGGACACGCGTGCGGAGGCCGTGGGTGCCTTGGCACGGGACGAGACGGAACGAGAGAGAGCGTCTGAGAGTTGGCACATTTGTGCCAAGCTAGGACATGGCTTACTTAATACAAGTTAATTCTGGGTGTCTTTAACATTACGATGTTTGTAACTGATATGTAAGAAGTATTATAAGATGTTAAACTAGTCGTGTCACCCGAACCTGATATAAAGACCCAATACTGTAACATATTAATTGGCGCCGCTGACCAGAGCAACATTAGAAGACCACAGGCCACAGCTATTAGTATTCACAGGTAAGTATTTCTCGATTAATTGCTAATTTACAGCAAAATAAAAACATTAGTGTTTAACTCAACCATAGCTTATTTTGTAAAGAATGGACCTATTTGCCTGTATGTATATAGCCTAAAGGCGGATTGCGTCCATATTATTATTTTGGTTAAAGATAATCGACGCAATAGCTTCTGCTTTCATTTGGCTATCTGAGTACAACGAGTGTACATGAAGATCATAACAATACCTTCCCAAAAGCTCAGTTATATAACCTCTTTGATTTAGGCCCGACCTATCCGACCGACGTATTTAGCTACTTTTCATTCTAACCTGGCCATATTGAATCACATCAGCCACTTTCCCGTTTTTACGGTATTTGTTAAGGGGTAGTTACTTTCATTTTGTTGAATGTAATCCTAATCCAAGACTTAGTTCCAATCGCTACTGGAAATTCCTGACGAAAACACAGTGGTATATCGTCATTATGTAGTATTATCCATAGACCTAGGTGCAGTCTAGTAAAAATTGTAAACTTCATGAACGTTGCATATATTACGGGATAAAAGTGATAAGTCGTTAAAATTGAGTTTTTTTAAAAAGAATGTTGTTCATGGCCCTCAGATACGAGCTCTTCCCTATGCCTCGAATTGTTGGGATTTGCTGTTATCAGAGTAGCACTAGTTGACACTTATGATGTAGTAGGTCACATAATATCAACAAATGGTCGTATTGTGGTATTTGTGTTAAAAACATGACAGGTATAGATCTTGACATGGTTTTACTGTATTAGCTTGATAACGTTGAGAGAATACTCTACGAAACGTCGCCTTAAATACACTAGTAGCTGTTTTTCATAAGTATGTGTTTTGTTGTTATGAATGGTGGCCATTCCAAAAGATGGATCTATCGCGACAAATGTCGCCATGGCGTCATTATTACGTCAACAATATATTACTGCTTAATTTTTATTCCACTATTTTTAGTTACTATTCGATATAGAAAAGATAAATCTGCTCCGCACCATCCTTTAGTTTATTTGATTAGATTCAATTTACTATAGTATTTTACAAGCTTTAAAACTGTATAATATGTTGGGGGTTTTGTGTTTAATGTACAAGAATTTTACAAGCTTTAAAATTGGATAATATGTTGTTTTTTAGTGTGTAATATTTTGTATTAAAATTCAAGTCAAGAAGCTTTGTAGGCTATATAGATTCACTGATAATATTTGTCTTTTGTCTAAATAGTTCCAGTTCAGTAAACATAGGTAAGCCTTTTGTTTCGTTCCATTTTAGTTCAAGGTTTGCACTGAATATAGATCATTTTTACTGTATACTTTATGGTACTGGCACCGCATAATACGAAATAACACATTGTTTAAAGTAAGTTCGTCTATGAATAAATTTACGTTACAATGGACGGGAATTTCTCCCCATACAACGTGGGAGATGAACAGATAGTCTGCCACCTGTTCCATGTACAAACTTTCCAGCAGTGGGAGTAATGTCCACTCATCAGAATCTAGGTCAGTTCGGAGCTAATTATATTGTTGGGTTTTTTATTTCAATAATTCGCTCGCGCTTAGTGGTCTTTAGCAGTTGGGGGTGTGAGGAGAGAAAACCCATGAGGTTGGACAGGCGAACCAAATCGAAAACACCCCGCTTGACTCAATAAAAGACTTTATAATCTACCCCCCCCCCCCACACACACACACAATTTCATTAATATCGTCCCA